CACTAGGCTACCCGACCGCCCCTGTATCAGTGACATTGTATACATATGTGTTGCATTCTGTGTTACATTCTGACATGTTGTTAGCCTCCAACTGTGTTGTATTGATCGCCATACGTATCAACATTGTAGCCAACCTACCTCGCGTGTACTAAACTGTGCTTTAATCACATCATCAACCACAAACATATATCGTGATTGTCTCATTGCTTGTGTCACCATAGTCAGCCTTCGGGATATTTAATGGTAGCAATATCGAAACTATTTCCAAATTTAGCGTCTCACTGACCAAATGAGGTCCATTGCAATTGACTTGCATCATGTTTCCTGTTTGCCAAGTGAACAGTTGACTTGCCCTTGCATGTGTTTGTGGTACCAACATTGGGGCAGAATACTCTCACGTTTTAGTGAATACCTGGTGTTGTGACTATTTTATTGTGATTTGTTACATGTTCATGATATAATCGGAATCGTGCTACGAATTACGTCTTTGGAAGATATTTCTTATGGTTATGGAAAGGGTGTTGTAGGGTGTTGTGACTCCGGGCCCATGCACCTTAGCCCCTCAATGCCGAGCGCCTGACAGAGTAACAACAAGTACCATCTTTTAACGTCTTTTGTGTATGACAGGCCGGGGATCGAACCCCGGACCTTCCGCTCTCCTGGCGGCCGCTCTACCACTAGACCACGGCGGTGACTATACGCAGTCAGCATACTGTGGGACTACGTACAGCGGTATGCGGCCTGTTGTGACACATCTATCAAATCACTTTGCCGTGATAGTGGATTTACGAGGGGATTACGATGTCGATGACACCTCTATATCTGTAGTGGACTTTATCTTCCCTCGCTTAGAAGCACTATTCTGGGACATACAGGTCGATAATAAATATAGTTCAGACCAGACAAGATATATTTGTTGTATTTTCTATCTAGTTCAATATATTAATAAAGTGGCTACTTAAACTAAATTTTCAAGTTAAAAACATAAATAAATAACATATCAATTCAGAACATTATTTTGAAAATGTCTTTTTTTCTTAAAAAATGAACTTGTATAGGCTTTGAAATTAGTTTATTTTCGACGCAGTCATAAAAAAATGTCAGCTAAATCACGGCGACGCTTAGTTTGAGTGCGACACACTCAGCCATATTCCAGATGATAATTTACAAGCCTCCTTAATACGAGTCTGGAACAGATAATTCCGTGATTGATTTGTGAGCAAGGATCCATGCGGTCTGGTACGAGGACACGCCAGGTCACAAATCCTGATCACCCGATCCGTTTGGTCGTGTTTTACGACCAGCATAAGTTACTGGGGACCGATTCTAACACAGATTTACCGCGGGGCACGTGTCTCCTAAATTCCCAAAAATACATCATACAAAACTAGTTTTTTGATTAAGTGTAATAGTCGTTTACAAAGTTTTAGATGAATCCTTTTTCCATATCTGTACAGTTGGCAAAGACCCATATCTCACATCCATAGTTCATGGTGGAAATAAGATATGCAGCAAATAATACAAACTGCGTTTTGGGTGTAAAAATGGAATTTCCACATATTTCTTAAGAGAATATTTAAACAGTTTATTCCCTTCCGTGCTAATGTTTTCTGTGCCATGGCCAACGAAGCGTTATAGTTGATAACATGTCCTTTCTAGTTAAAACTGTCTACAGCTTCACGTACATAATTTCCGTAATTCCATTCTTCGTCCGATCTTAATTTTCCACCATTGCGGAAAACCCGACAAAACTCTTCAGTTGTCATCATCCCCTTCGTCACCTTCTCATATATTGGGACAGTGACACCTTCACGCCAAGTCTCAGGAAATGTTCCACTGTCGAAGATTAGCTTGAACACATGCTGTCCATGCCAAACCGGAAGTTGGTAGATAGCAACTACCATTTTCTCGCTGGACAGTAATAATTGCGATTTCATCCTAGCTCGTGGAGCATAGTATAGGTAAGTTTTTAGCTCTTTTAGTTAATATTTGGAACTAAATCTAACTTATATCATGCAACGAGGGGCTTCCGGGCCACAACCGTTATAGTATTTACATACGACCCTCAATAATAAGTTCAATATCGTTTTACTTTACTTTTAGTGTCGAAAACTAGGTGCTTTTCAGCGTAAAAAAACACATCATTATTACATACTGATTTAAAATATTCATTTGATATAGTCAGTTGATGGAGATTTGTTATTCTTCAACTTAGAAATAGCGTTCATCACTTCCTGATCAGAGATCGGTCTGTCTAATTCTTTAAAAAGAATCCTTCATTTTCATCAAGAGGGTTTGCGCTGTTGTTGGTATTACAATTCAGATTTGTCAGTCTACGGAAACGATGCCTAAAGTTAACTGTTGATATTTCTTGCCCTCGTTTTTCGAGATCCGAAATATTTCCAGAAGCCACGAGGGTTCGATTTCTTCATCTTCTCAACGTTTTTTCTGTTCATGTTGTACTGTCTCTTTCCCCCTTTCACTGTCGTACGGGTGTGTATTCTCACATGACACTTTCCGATTATGTTCCGATTTATTCACATCAAACAACTCTTGTGACTGTAAATATGCATTCTTTCCCTCTCTACATTCTGAATCCAACCATAGAGAGTCGACTCTGGTATAGTCTATGAAGTGTACAGCTCCCGTGGTTGTAGGTATGAGTCTTTGTAAATTGACCACCGCACTGACAGAATGTCAGTATAATTCTTTACTATGTTGTCTGTATAATGTTCTGTATTTACAAGTTCAGTAAGCCGTTATTGCTCACAAAGGTATAATTACCAGGTTTTTCATCATTCATTCGGCAGTTTGCAATACTCAGGCCTGCAAAGTCTAAAAGCTGTATTCCAAATCAAATTGACCCGTGAAGATTCGGGGGAAGAAGAGGGTCTTCAGCAACCCATGCTTGCCGTAAAAGGCGACTATGCTTGTCGTAAAAGGCGACTAACGGTATCGGGTGGTCAGGCTAGCTGACTTGGTTGATGCATGTCATCGATCCCAAATGCGTGGATCGATGTTCATGATATTAATCACTGGATTGTCTAGTCCAGACTCGATTATTTTACAGACCGCCGTCATATAGCTGGAATATTGCTGAGTGCGGCGTTAAACAACAAACAAACAAACAAAAATGTCCTCTCCATCGGCGTGTGACTTTGTAAGCAACCTCATCTATATTGACATCTACTCCATCATCAGGGACACATGTTGCAGTCGACCTACCCGAGCATTAAAATCTTCACAAATATACTCTTCAAAATAAAAAGAAACGCAATACGGATATTTTGCCATAACAGTAAAATTAGACCGATAGGAGCAAACATGAAGGGGTTTATTGTGTTATAGTGTCAGTGACACATTTCCCGGATCAAAATGATCACAAGGACGTGCAAGCCATAAGTCGGGAAACGCAAGCAGTGCATTAACAAAAGGGCCATGGAGCTGCACGTACTGCACGTGCAGCAGCACTATAAACGGTATCAAAGTGAATGCTTTTTGATTGCCTGGAATCTGCGTCAATCGAACACTGACAGTTCAACAACATGCCAAGAATAACGGAATAACATTCCAAGAACTAGAAAGTGTTTTTAGTCTCCCCCCACTCCCCTAACCCCCATTCATTTGTTTACTTCACGTTAAACCCCATCTCTTCATTCCCACCCTCCATTACTAAATAACAGAGACAAAAATAGAACTCCTAGAAATTTCAAACAACTAATGGGCACCACTTCAGCATCTAATCAACACCACTAATCCCTCAATCATTTACCCACCTGACAGTGTAGTCATCTAAGTAGCACAGTTTTCTTGTTACTGAAGTATTTGTAGAAAATCCACTTAAAGTACTAATAGAGTTTGGACACAAATATATTAATATCCCCAACATATCAGAAATGATGTAGCAATGTTATATGGCACAAAGGAAAGTCTCTGTGATGTAATTGCCCGTGTATCTGACTCTGCAGGTCTTCTACACAATGACATATGTGATGTCATGGAAACTGTAAAAGCAAAAGGCACCACTTCAGTGCTGGGTTAATGTGTATACAAAGTTTCGCGAAAAAATATTAAAAGGTTTCTGAGTTATGGTCAGGAAACAAAGCCTACCCCCATTCAGAGCCTATGTTCAACTTATCTCCATGGAAACGAGAAAAAATAAAAATGTCAAAAATCTCTAAATAGCAAAAGGCACCACTTCAGTGCTGGGTTAATGTGTATACAAAGTTTCGCGAATAAATATTAAACGGTTTCTGAGTTATGGTCTGGAAACGGTGGGAACGCCGACGCCGACGCCGACGCCAACGGGAACCGTGCCAAAAACAATATGTCTCCCTCCATTCTGGGGGAGACATAATAACGGAATAACATGCCTGATCACCCAGGTTTTAGTCAGGTTGAATATGTTGACTTCAGGGTTGGGACGTTCACATTTTTAAAAATGAATTTTAACCTTCAAAACTAAGATCTTAATTTAATTAGACTGCCGTTTCTTATGTCTTGTCTGCTGGATTGCAAGAAACTGTTTGTAGCTTCCCATAATCCTCAGTGGTGAGGTGAGGTCAGGTGAGGTGGAGTTTAAGGTGGTTTATAAGATGATTCCACTTTGGTGAAACCCACGAGCAGAGGTATGGTGCTGACTAACCTAGAAACAATCAGGGTGGATCTGGGATTTGAACCCACAAGCATGTGTTTCTGGTAAGTCTAAGGATGCAATTCTGCAAGGCTAATTGTGGTGGCTTACATCACTGTCCCCAACTTCAGAGAGAACACATGAGTGAGTGAGTATGGTTTTACACCGCTTTTAGCAATATTCAAGCAATATCACCACGGGGGACACCAGAAATGTGCTTTACACATTGTACCCATGTCGGGAATCAAACCCGGGTCTTCGGCGTGATGAGCGAATGCTCGAACCACTAGGCTACCCGACCGCTCCAGAACACATGAAGATTTAGGATTCTTACAAGATTGAGCACAAAAAAAAGGCAAGACTGACATTGGTGTTTGAGGTTTTAATTCACCATATTACTAGTCAGCAGGTAGGCGACAATATCATGACATACATTAAATATCTGATGTTCCGAAGCATTGGTGACACTATGGAATACACAGTGCAGAGAGAAAGTGATCCATTTAAAATAAAAAGAAACAAAATAATCACTTTTCTCTCACAAATTCCTAAAGGTATATTAAATATCACTCACTAAAACATACATGGCAAAACTTGGTAGCGTTGAAGATAAAACTGTACCAGTGTTTCGGTGTATGGTCTGGAAGCAGATCTTTAAATAATGTGCACGTTGTAGATTCAGAAGGAACAATTAGGTGCCATCAATGTAGACCAAGAACAATTATTTGCTGAATATTACCGTATATTTATAACAAATGTCTTTTACATTTAATCATGTACCCGTCCCCATAACTTCACACCTCTTAGCCGGATTACATAAAATTTAGTAAATTAGCATGGGGTTAACATCTTTACAAACACCTCACTGTAGTAGTCTGGCAGTGATTGAAGGGAGACAACTCAATTCTAAAATGACGTAAAGAGATGGTCTGGAGTAGATTTACAAACAGTAATTATAAAAGTATCACACAAATCACATATGAAAATATAACATAATTGTATACGACATCAGCTAGCGGTCTGCATAGCAAAACACAGCCCAGGTCACGGCCCTGTGCCATGGAGTGACCCTCTGACTTGAACTCCGACACAGACCTGATCAGCCACATGTGGATCTCTCCAGGGAACGTGGCCCTGTCTTCATTCACCTGCATCAAATGCTACTGCAATTTGGTCATGCAAGAAAGTGACTTAGATATTAGCTGAGCATCAACACGACAACACGAAGCATCTGTCCAATGCTTTGGTTAGTTAAATGCACATGGCAAGTTGCTTTAACACTCCAGCTTGATTTCTACAAAACCAAATATTAAGTCTGAATGGAAATGAGTGGCGTTGACTGATGAAACGCAAACATTCGCGAATTAAACTTGCAAAATGGACGTCAATGTAAGGCTTGAGAAACCCATAAATTCACACGACAATTTAATCTGTTCAAGAAATAGCCAAACATTTTACATACACTTGGATTTTGCAAATTCATTTCTGATACAATTTCCCCAAACAAAACTTATTTTTCTTCTTCCAGGCAAAACTTCTTGCTTTGTGTGACTTCATTCTGAGTCAGTGTTTTGGGGAAGCCCCCCAGATGACAGACTAGACCCTCGCCTCCAGCCTCCTACCGTCCGGAAAGACAGTAAGATGGATGGGTAGGGATGTACAGACTCTCACAGATGATTGGTTGGTTCTTATCCAGCGCAAGAAAGTACGAAAGTTGAGGAAATCGGACATGTTTGCTTCATCAAGTTTAACTACATGCGAAATATCAGGAGGGAATGTTTGACGGAAATGATTTTGATTTAAACTCAACTGACTTGAGATTAAACAAACAATAAATATAGCACTGTGAAACATAAAATATACTTGATCGGTTACTGTTGATAACACATCTCCCAACTATTCATTTGCATTTTGTAAGTAGGATTTTGCAAAACTTTTGAATGTTATTTGATTTGAAGACAAGCGCCATCATAGCTAAGGTTAGTATATATATATATATGTCTATGTTATTATGTCGCACACTAACTCAACTAGAAGCCATCTTACACGCTGTCTATAATACCACTGACATTAACCAAGTCCAGGTGTCAGACAATGTTCCGATGTCTTTGTTAGAATAGGATTTTCAAGAATTCCAAAATTACCATTCCGAAGGCGAAACATGATAAAGAAACTGTCCATTCTAAATAGCTTCATTTTTAGACTGAAATCAAAACAAACACAATAACATTTAGTTAACTTGTACGACTTGAACTCCAATACAGAGGCGAGTGTTGAACAGACAGACATGTGTATATCCTGGTATAGACATCTGTACAAACGTGGTGCTATCACAAGGTTACTACGGGGACCACTAGGTCGTAAATAAATTACAATTATAGCAAAGCCGAGCACAAACTCAACAACAGGCTGTATGTACAGTAACAAATATGTCAGTCTTCTGGGATCCCGTCACAACTGCTACTGGCAACCTCGGACACCACGTCACTTCACCGAGTCCACAGGGCGACCCTCAATACTCAGGGTGCCGAGTATGCAACTGTTTCCTGTCTATTCCGTTCCCAACTCCCTACTTTAGGGAGCTGGGGACTATCTTCACAGTCAATCACCAGTTAAAGCCAGACAAGAAACATTTTTAGTGGCGTCAATCTTTCAAGGAATGGCAGAGTTATCTCCCTTTGTCATTCTTGTTCAAATACCATATAGCTGGGGTGGTAAGCATTTGGAAAGTGACAATGATGTGATGGATAACCAAATTTCAAGCAGACCTTTTCGTGTTTATTTGAGCTGTTTCTTGCGGTGTTTCTGTCCTACTAGGTTGTGTGGCAGTGCGGGATCCCACGAAGGTTTGACTGTGTATATGAGAATGTCTTAGTAACACACAGGGTGGACAAACATAGCACTGGTGCTGTGCAAGCCACAGAGCACACAAACCTGAGGAAAGGGGGTCACGGAACAAAGTGGTCACTTTGGTATTAACCGCTACACCTTGAATCAGATACTGACATCGAAGTCTGGTACGTTATTGTAAACAAACCTGGGTGACAGCTTACTAATACTCTAGTTGTTATTTCTACATCTGTACAAAACCAGTTTGAAATTTACAATCGTGTGGGTAACTAGACGCTCTAGCAAGAGAGAGAGAGAGAGCAAAAGGGGAGAACTGATTGACAACTGTTTGGCATCCTCAGAACACCTTTAGGCTTGCTTCTGTGGTTTCTTAGCTAGCAACAAACTCGTCAAGAATCTCTAACAGAGATATTTAGTATGTACAGACAAATAGCACTTAACGATCTGAGGGAGCGAGTCCCATGTGAGTTGCCACGGAGACAACTTTCATCCCTGGGTGGGAACAGGGCCAAGGGGTGATTACAAAAACAAAAACTGTGGCGACAAGTTTACAAACTTGTCCAAGCTCTTAATATCAACCATGGCAAACATAAAGGGTCAAACATTCTCTGCAGGTCATAGCGCATCTCCAGAGGCAAAATAATAGACAACTCAACAAAGTGGTTTTCGTTTGTGAAAGATTCAAACTTGATCGTGACCACACAGTATTGCTTCAAAACCTCCGAACATGCTCAATAAGTATTTTAGATGAAAATATAGCCAAGATCTCACCTACAACTTTAGTATTCAGCCATCAAGCCTGATCAGAAATCACCAAATAATCAGTACCCCTACCAAACACTTAGGACACGAATACCCAATACATAACTCATGCATATGTCTCATGCACGGGACATGACAAGAAGGTTGAAATGCATGACACAGGATAAATATGAGCACAAGTATCAACTCTAAAAATTTCCAACACAACTGAAGTAATATTCTGTGTGACCTAGGATGAGAGGATTATGAGGGATGTTGAATACATCGTCTAGAACTGGTCAAAAATTACTCGTACAACATAACACGTACTTGACGTATGTGACAATATCAACTATGGACTCGAAGCAACCTGTTTAGACAAGTGAGGGTAACTATGCAGAAGACCACAAGGGTTGTTTAAATACACATGTATGCAGCCGAACAGTGAGGGAACAGTGCACAGTAGAATCGTCCCGTCAAGCTGGCACAGACAAGCACAATATCACACAGGTCCAGGGTTGTTGGTCGTATGAGAAAGTGGCTTCAAAACGGGTCTCCTTCGTCCGTCTCCTCCAGTACGGTAGCAGCCACGGCAGATTGTGCTTGCCGAGCTCGACTGGCTGGGCTACCCATGCAAGGTTGTTTTTTCATCATTTTTCATTTATCTCTTGCACTGTACCGAACAGGTTGCCTTTCACTGTTGAGTCTGTTGTTGTTATTGACAAGGTCGTAAATTTCTGTAATCATTGACATTAAATGCATTGGACAAGTCCCAGACTGTCAGCATGAGTTTTGAAAGCACTCTCTCATAGACAGCTATGCAACCCTGTGTTGGAGAATAATAAATAGGTAATGCCTAAGATCTCTTGCGGAGCCACGCAGCCACAAAACAAGATACTCGTTTGTCTGTATAACTCTTCTGTCCAATCTGCGGACTCTAGCAACCCACAGCAACGACCAATCAGATAGTTCCTTCCTCTGTACCTATGTTTTGATTGGCTATTAACGGCACTCCCATACTTTGACATTTTGGTCCACGCTCCCAGTCACTACATATGGAGCAGTTCGGTGCATATCTGGAAATAGAAAAGCGACATTGAATAGATGGATTTTAAAATAAGCCTGTAATATTCTTTCGTTTCTTGTTTTTTCTCTGAAAAATGTTGGAGCCATGACGCAGAATACTCTTTCCACCATGTATCCTATGCAATGTAACCTCCCCTTGAGGAAACAGGATTTGTGAAATAAACAGCATGGGGAGTGTCATGTTTGTGGGATGTGTGTTATTTGCCACTCACCTAGTCATGTGGTGAAGTGTGTATGTGTGTGTCACCTGGTGACTTGACGACAATGTGTGTGTGAAAAGTGTGTGTGTGTGTGATTGTCACTCACCTAGTGACTTGACAATGTGTGTGAAAAGTGTGTGTTATATGTCCCTCACCTAGTGACATGACGAAGTTCGTGTGTGTGTGTGTGTGTGAATGAGTGAGTGAGTGCGTGCGTGCGTGCGTGATATGTCCCTCACCTAGTGACTTGATAATGTGTGTGTGTGTGTGTGAGTGAGTGCGTGCGTGCGTGCGTGATATGTCCCTCACCTAGTGACTTGATAATGTGTGTGAAAAGTGTGTTATGTCCCTCACCTAGTGACGTGACGAAGTTCGTGTGTGTGTGTGTGTGTGTGAGTGAGTGCGTGCGTGATATGTCCCTCACCTAGTGACTTGACAATGTGTGTGTGTGCTTGTGTGATATGTCCCTCACCTAGTGACTTGACAATATGTGTGTGAAAAGTGTGTGTTATATGTCCCTCACCTAGTGACGTGACAATGTGTGTGTGTGTGCGTGTGTGTGTGTGTGATATGTCCCTCACCTAGTGACTTGACAATGTGTGTGTGAAAAGTGTGTGTTATGTCCCTCACCTAGTGATGTGACGAAGTGTGTGTGTGTGTGTGTGTGTGTGTGAGTGATATGTCCCTCACCTAGTGACGTGACAATGTGTGTGTGTGTGTGTGTGTGTGATATGTCCCTCACCTAGTGACTTGACAATGTATGTGTGAAAAGTGTGTGTGTGTTATGTCCCTCACCTGGTGATGTGACAAAGTGTGTGTGTGTGTGTGATATGTCCCTCACCTAGTGACGTGACAATGTGTGTGTGTGTGTGTGTGTGTGATATGTCCCTCACCTAGTGACTTGACAATGTGTATGTGAAAAGTGTGTGTGTATTATGTCCCTCACCTGGTGATGTGACGAAGTGTGTGTGTGTGAGATATGTCTCTCACCAGTGACTTGAAATGTGTGTGTGTGTGTGTGTGTGATATGTCCCTCACCTAGTGACTTGACAATGTGTGTGTGAAAAGTGTGTGTGTTATATGTCCCTCACCTTGTGATGTGACGAAGTGTGTGTGTGTGTGTGTGTGTGTGTGTGTGTGCGTGCGTGCGTGCGATATGTCCCTCACCTAGTAACGTGACAATGTGTGTGTGTGTGTGATATGTCCCTCATCTAGTGATGTGACAAAGTGTGTGTGTGTGTGTGTGTGTGTGATATGTCCCTCACCTAGTGATGTGACAAAGTGTGTGTGAGCCTCCAGAGTCTTGTGGTTCCTCTTGTTCTTGATGTCCCACACTCGCAGCGTCTTGTCATCTGCTGCACTCAGGATGTACTTGCCGCCGGGGTGGAACACCAGTCCACGCACCCAGTTGTCGTGGCCAACCTAGCAGGGTGCAAACACGTCAAGGCTTGTAACAAACTGAGAATGGTGTTTCACTCGCATTGATAGCAATATAATAGTAATCAAGTCTGTCACACAATCACGGACTGTCGACACAAAATCAGAGACTGTTGTCACACAATCAGAGGCTGTTGTCACACAATCAGACACTGTCGTCAAACAATCAGAGACTGTCGGCACACAATCAGCTTGGACACAGCTGGTCTGATACCCACACACACATACACTGGGGAGTCATTGTAGACTGCATAACAATCAAATCTGGGCAAGGATATCCAGTGGTTGATAGCATGAACAACTATTCCCCATGGGGGTACAATGACACAGAATCGGAAATTTAAGCTGTTTTCAATGGAATCATGGCAATGATAACACTTTTCGATGACAAAGTGTGCTTTGACATAGATAGAAATAACATGAGGCCTTTTCAAGGTAGGACTAACAAATTCAAGGTATTCGATGACCAAAAAGAGAGAGGCCTTTCTGAGAGTAAAACAGAAAAATTCAAGCATTTTCAAGGTATGGTTGCCCAATCCAAGGCCTTTTCCAAGACTGAAAATGACCAATTAAAGGCTTTTCCAAGTCTGTGCAAACAGTACAGTGTGGCTCCTTATGCTTGTCCGGACTGATGCAGATTTTATAGTGCTAGTCCACTGACATACCATGCCGCAGTTTAACATGAATTCCCCATTTAGACACAGTATACTGACTCTGAGCCGAACGGTCGTTGTTATAGCCCCATAAGGCCAAGTGGTATTAAGCGGCAGGGGATCGAACCCCAGTCCTTCTGCTTTCCCGGTGGACGCTAGACCACTAGACCACGGAGATGGTCAGCTAGTACTAGTACAACAAGCTTTAGCTGCTAGATTATTTCTGCCCAGAATGTCAATTGGGTAAAGTATGACGACATCGTTGACTAAAACCAACCAGAGTGAAGAGGCAGAGGCCGACGCTGACGTCCCACATCTTGATGGTCTTGTCCCGGGAGCCAGATATCAGGAAGGGGCCATTGCGGGGCTTCTTGGCCTGAAAAGCAAACAAAATGGGATTACAGCACATCGATTACCTTGCGGACTGACATTGCACCAACTTTTACTTCTCCTAGTTCAAGTATCTTGGTTGGAAAATACTGAATTATATCATAATGCATGCTCCCTCGCTGATGGCATGGTGTGTACTATAAGTCTATGAACAACAGTGTTAGTGAAACCATGTGATACATACATCAATGCCAGCCCCCTCGTTGATGGCGGGGTGAGCTGATTCCGGAGCCCAGGTGATGCACTCCACCACATGCTCATGTTCCCGCAGCTCGGCCTTGCACTCCTTCGTGGCCGTCACCCACACACGGACAGTCTGCAGATAGAAAGGTCATTTACAGGGTACCAGGTAGGGTCCAGTCATGTACCGGGTACCAGGTAGGGTCCAGTCATGTACAGGGTACCAGGAAGCATCAGGTCATGTACAGGGTACCAGGTAGGGTCAGGTCATGTACAGGGTACCAGGTAGGGTCCAGTCATGTACAGGGTACCAGGTAGGGTCAGGTCATGTACAGGGTACCAGGTAGGGTGAGGTCATGTACAGGGTATCAGGTAGGGTCAGGTCATGTATTGGGTACCAGGTAGGGTCAGGTCATGTACAGGGTACCAGGTAGGGTCAGGTCATGTACTGGGTACCAGGTAGGGTCAGGTCATGTACAGGGTACCAGGTAGGGTCAGGTCATGTACAGGGTATCAGGTAGGGTCAGGTCATGTATTGGGTACCAGGTAGGGTCAGGTCATGTACAGGGTACCAGGTAGGGTCAGGTCATGGACAGGGTACCAGGTAGGGTCAGGTCATGTATTGGGTACCAGGTAGGGTCAGGTCATGTACAGGGTACCAGGTAGGGTTAGGTCATGTACAGGGTATCAGGTAGGGTCAGGTCATGTATTGGGTACCAGGTAGGGTCAGGTCATGTACAGGGTATCAGGTAGGGTCAGGTCATGTATTGGGTACCAGGTAGGGTCAGGTCATGTACAGGGTACCAGGTAGGGTCAGGTCATGTACAGGGTACCAGGTAGGGTCAGGTCATGTACAGGGTATCAGGTAGAGTCAGGTCATGTATTGGGTACCAGGTAGGGTCAGGTCATGTACAGGGTACCAGGTAGGGTCAGGTCATGTACAGGGTACCAGGTAGGGTCAGGTCATGTACAGGGTACCAGGTAGGGTCAGGTCATGTACAGGGTATCAGGTAGGGTCAGGTCATGTACAGGGTACCAGGAAGCATCAGGTCATGTACAGGGTACCAGGTAGGTTCAGACCTCTGGATTCCAGAACACGGGCTGACAACAATATTCCAGCTATACAATGCAGTCCCTGCACAATAACATGGGCCCCCCACACATGGCCTGGCCTCTCACAGGGCTTGGCCTTTCACAGGGATTGGACTCTCACAGGGCTTGGCCTCACACACATGGCTTGGCCTCTCGCACATGGCTTGGCCCCTCACAGGGCTTGGCCTCTCACTCATGGGTCCCTGCACATGGCTTGGCCTCTCACAGGGCTTGGCCCCTGCACATGGCTTGGCATCTCACTTGGCTTGGCCTCTCACAGGGCTTGGCCTCTCAAAGAGCTTGGCTCCACACACACAGCCCCCGCACAGGCCTTGGCCTCACACACATGCCTTGGCCTCACACACATGGCTTGGCCTCACACACATGGCTTGGCCTCACACACATGGCCTGGCCTCTCACAGGGCTCGGCCTCTCACAGGGCTTGGCCTCTCACAGGGCTTGGCCTCACACACATGGCTTGGCCTCTCGCACATGGCTTGGCCTCTCACAGGGCTTGGCCTCTCACTCATGGGTCCCTGCACATGGCTTGGCCTCTCACACATGGGCCCCTGCACAGGGCTTGGCCTCTCACACATGGGCCCCTGCACATGGCTTGGCCTCTCACACATGGGTCCCCGCACATGGCTTGGCCTCTCACAGGACTTGGCCTCTCACGCATAACTTGGCCTCTCACACATGGCTTGGCCTCTCACATGGCTTGGCCCCTCACATGGCTTGGCCTCTCACACATGACTTGGCCTCTCACACATGACTTGGCCTCTCACATGGCTTGGCCTCTCACATGGCTTGGCCTCTCACAGGGCTTGGCCTCTCACACATGACTTGGCCTCTCACATGGCTTGGCCTCTCACATGGCTTGGCCTCTCACATGGCTTGGCCTCTCACAGGGCTTGGCCTCACACAGGGCTTGGCCTCACACACATGGCCCCCGCACACGGCCCCCGCACAGGGCTTGGCCTCATACATGGGTCCCCGCACATGTCTTGGCCTCTCACAGGGCTTGGCCTCTCACACATGGGCCCCCGCACATGGCTTTGCCTCACACACATGGCCCCCGCACAGGGCTTGGCCTCTCACACATGGGCCCCTGCACAGGGCTTGGCCTCACACACATGGCCCCCGCACAGGGCTTGGCCTCTCACACATGGTCCCCGCACAGGGCTTGGCCTCTCACACATGGCCCCCGCACAGGGCTTGGCCTCACACATGGCTTGGCCTCACACACACTATAATCTCAATCTTTCTTGGTCAAGTTTACAAGTGTGGGGCAGTTAGGGCCATCACATCCCTGCCTGGGTGTTACTACAGGCAGCAGGTTAGCATCTAACGCAGCACTGTACACCTCCAGGAGTTGCTGATTACCTGATCATTTGAGCAGCTGGCCAGGAGAGATCCATCATTGTTGACCCTCACCATCCTCACCCACTCCCGGTGACCAGTGAACGTCTTCACGCAGTACCTGCAGCAGAGGGCACAACTCAGCATGAACAACCTGGACATGACATTGACGTGAACCAACCCTATTCTACTTCATGTGATAAGAACATTATTTCAAAGCTGAGACTCACAATTTGCCAGCATTGTAACTTGTACAAGTGAGTGTGTATGTTTTATGTCACTTTAAGCAATATTCCTGCAATATCATGGCGGGGGACACAAGGAATAGACTTAGAAAAAAAGGAATTAGGGAGAAATATTCCATAAACATTGTGACAAAAACAAAAAACAAAAAAACACCAGAAAAAAATCCTTTAAAAAAATCAATATCATGTGCAAATCCATGCCACTGCATTAATAGTTCATAAAAGGAAACCTTTGTCACACACTAAAATAGGATAAACTTCTTCTATTCTTTCAATGATACGTTCAGGGGAGTTACTAGTGTCATCAAGTGCTGTAATCAATCCACCAAGTCTACGCCCACTTCCTTGATGCAACAGCTGTAAAGCTTTATGTTACAGATCTGGATAAATTTTTAATTCAGTCCTTGACCATGTGATCACAAACATGACGTACCCGGTTGCCACCTCCCACATCTTGATGGTCTTGTCTCGAGAAGCCGAGACAACGAAATCTCCACTTGGCATGAAGCACACGCTCGACACATTGTGGTCGTGACCTGTTTGTGACAAGGGTAGAAATCATCAGATAGACGGACATCTCACTGAGCATCTTGCATGTTATGTACAGAACCAGTGTTCGAAATACCTGCCTGCCCGACCGTACGAGACGGGCTGATTTCAACTCGGGCTGCCAGATTTTCAAATCCCCCTGCCCGACGGTCGGGTTATATTTCATAGGTGAAAATATTCTAAATATTTCCCGATGATAAGCATTAATTCACATGTAAAGATGAATGATAAAATGTAACCAAAAAGAAACCCCGTTAGCTTTTAGATAACCTAACATTTAGCGATGAGCTTTTGCTACAAGCAATCAGTTTTCATATTTTTAATTAAATTATCCTGAGAAACATATGATTATAGTGGGCAGGCAGGTTTTGGTCAGGGCTGGCAAGTATTTCAGCTAGCCAGTCCTGTGGTCTGGCTGACATTTTTAGGAGTTTCATACCCTAACAGAACACACTACACATTGCTTTGTGGTAACTAGTGTCAGTGTTTGAAAAGCACGGCAGTCGAGGAGTCTTTGTCACTCTCCTAATGTCAACACTCAGAGATTCAGTATGTTCTAGTCATAGAGACACTGAAACAAACATATTCCAAAATTTGCTAGCAGGTCTACATTTTGGCAAGTTTAGATTTCTTCAGGTCAGGAATATAACAAGATTTCTTCAGGTCGTCAAGTTGGGGATATCAGGATGGTATTCTGATTATTGCGGTACGTACCATACATGGTTTTGATGCAGTCGTAGCCCTTGAAGTCCCACAGCTTGATGGTCATGTCGGCCGAGCAGGAGGCTGAAACACAAGCGCCATGTCACAAGGGTACAGCACACACAGGTAGGGTTCTACCTAGGCTCACAACGTTCATTTGTCTCAAGCAGCACACTTGTGTGGATTCTGAGTTAAATAGATCCTAACAACCTGTGCCAACTAATTGGATCAGGCGGTCAGACTCAGTGACCTGGTTGATTACATGTCATCATACCCTGATTGCTTGGGATGTTACTCATGATATCAATCACTGGATTGTCTGGTCCAGGCTGGATTATTTACAGGCCGTCGTCACGAAGATGGAATATTGCTGAGTGAGGTATTAAACAACAAATGCATACACTAAAAGCAGAAGTTTCTTTCAGCCGGCAGACTTTACCACTACTGAGTAGACCCTAGGTTGAACATACTCAGACAAAACCTGTGACCAGACACTCCTACCATCATTTGAAAAGAGCGCAACTGTTAAGGCATTGACTGTCATCATACATCCATGTCAGAATGATGAGATCTGATTGGTTCACATGATCTCCATAAAATACCATGTATCCTGCCTGGGAGGGAATATATTTCTGAGCAGGAGATTCTATAATTCCCTTATACCCCGCCACAAACAAGGTAGAATAAATCCCTTATACCCTGCTTCAAAGCAAAGCCGCCCACTTTTTCCGATTCAATGAAAGTAATGTGACACAGCACAAGTTACCCTAAGCTCAATGGACCAGCTGTTTTCTATCAATTTTGAAGTTGTTTTAATTCTTTTACGATGGCAGATTAAAACAAGTCGTTAAGATAAATTCACTGTAGCAGTATCACTCGGGGTACATGTGGTCTTATGCATCACTCGTTAGGTTTATGTAACGCAGGACACATACAAGCACATGTACCCTCGTGACACTGCCACAACTTATTATCTGAGTTTCCTGGATCAAACAAACTTATACTAGAGTCAGGCTTTGGACGGATAGATGAAGTCCCCAACTGCTGTATCTCACCAAGAAAGTTTCCTGTGGAGTCAAAGGAGATGTCCTGTACAGAGTCTGTGTGTCCCTTCAGACTCCGCTCATAGTCCCCGGTTTCGTAGTCCCACAGCTGCAACAAGAGTGAGTGAGTGAGTGAGTACGGTTTTACGCCGCTTTGAGCAATATTCCAGTAATATCACGGTGGGGGACACCAGAAATGGGCTTCACACATTGTACCCATGTCGGGAATCGAACCCGGGTCGAGCGAACGCTTTAACTACTAGGCTACCCGACCGCCCCTGCAACAAGACACACCTCCTCTATAGGAGACTGACACATGCAGGAATGACTGTGCACTGACCCCCTAGGACATTTTCAAAATGTCTGCCATGGTGGCCATGTGTAACAACAGAGTTGGGTTTCTGTGAACACCATTACTGGGATCCTCAATGGAAAGTTTTCGCTTCACAGGCCATATGGTTTTACAGATGTCGAAAAGTTTGCCTAAGATGAATGGACTGAGAGTAGTTGTTTTGAAACAAGTGATGGATTCATCTATTTGTTTCAGGGAAAATTTTGAAAATGTAAATGTTTAAGAGAGACGACAAGCAGTGACCTTTCACATCAAAACTATTTTCACTTGTGCAGGTTAACCATTTTGAATACAGAAATCACGCAGAAAATCTCTAGACTGATCATCTGATAACAACACTTATAAGTTTGACAAACGATCTATTCAAAGGAGAGTTACCTCCCTTATCCAACTAAAGGAGTCACGGATTGGATTTCGGTCATAATTGATTATACTTTGACCAAAATGCCTAAAAATACTGTACATCATGAAATAATGCATCACCAAATAAATGTGAGCGTCAAACCTTTGCCTGAAAAGCATGATAAAATGAATGCCCTACCTTTGAACTTTATGAACTTATCATCAAACACCACCACTGGTGACTTGGAATTCCATGAAACGGTATTGGGTGTTGCATGTTACAGTAGAGTTGTCTCCCCTACCTTGAGTGTGGCGTCCTCACTGGCGGACACCATGACGGCAAAGACAGGATGTATGATGACCTTGGTGACGGGACTCCTGTGTCCGGTCATGGTGTACTTCTCCGGGGGGCGGGGAATCCACTCCAGTGGGCTGCGCTTGTCCCGCGTGGGGGCACCTGCGTTGTACTCCCTCTCTGTCTCAGACAGCTTAGCTTCAAGGTCCATAACCTGGAGGTACAGAGATCACAGGTGAGTGACGGACCAGACACTCCAGTGACTGGGAACATGTGCAACGATCTTTGACCCTGGGGCATGGGGACACACATCACCCAAGTCGATGACCATTCATTTTACCTTTTATGACAATCATTAATTAGTGCGGACCTGTTTTACCAGGAGTGAGTGAGTGAGTTTGGTTTTACGCCGCTTTTAGCAATATTCCAGCAATATCACGGCGAGGGACACCAGAAATGGGCTTCACACATTGTACCCATGTCGGGAATCGAACCCGGGTCTTCGGCGTGATGAGCGAACGCTTTAACCACTAGGCTACCCGACCGCCCTGTTTTACCAGGAATCACCACAGTGATTACATATTTCAGTTTCAGAATCTCATAAAATATCAAGTCCAGCTGAAACCTGCAAATCCTCAAACATGGATTAACTTTCCCATTTTCTTAATCAATAAATTACAGAGGAAGAGATCCGATTTCACAGTAAGGTTCCATTGATCAATAGCAATTCTTGATTGGCCCGTCACTCTTTCATCAACTACACATTATTAATACCTTTTTCTGCAGTCTGATGACTGAGGTCCACTTCTTCTCCAGAAGACCCGCATACTTCTTTTCTATTTCAGGGGACTGTGGAGGAAACAAGGGAAGGTGGAGATCAAGATCATGTGTGGAGGGGATGCTTTGTACTTTCATCACAGCATGGCACCTTCAAGTGGGCGAACATCCAAAAGCGACACAAGTCATAGACGTTTACCATCTTGGCAAGAACCACAATAAGAATGGGTCTGGGATTTTAACCCATGATGATGATGATGATGATGATGATGATGATGGCCATCAGGTAAGGATGACAAAATCAGCAAAGTCACAGAGCGTGACCGTATGATCTTCATGGGATACTAGGGTACTAGGGTACTGGGGTACCGAGATACTGGGATACTGTGGTATTAGGGTACCGAGATACTAGGGTACTGGGGTACTAGGGTACCGGGATACTAGGGTATTGGGGTACTAGGATACTAGGGTACTGGGATGCTGGGATACTGGGGTAGTGGGGTACTAGGGTGTTGGGATACTAGGATACTAGGGTAGTGGGGTACTTGGGTAGTGGGGTACTGGGGTAGTGGGGTACTTGGGTACTGGGGTAGTGGGGTACTTGCGTGCTGGGATACTAGGATACTAGGGTACTGGGGTACTAGGGTACCGGGATGCTAGGGTATTGGGACACTAGGGTATTGGGGAACTAGGATACTAGGGTACTGGGATGCTGGGGTAGTGGTGTACTTGGGTGCTGGGATACTAGGGTACTGGGGTACTAGGGTGCTGGGATACTGGGGTAATGGGGTACTTGGGGGCTGGGATACTGGGATACTGGGGTACTAGGGTATTGGGATACTAGGGTGCTGGGATACTAGGATACTAGGGTACCGGGGTACTGGGGTAGTGGTGTACTTGGGTGCTGGGATACTAGGGTACTGGGGTACTAGGGTACTGGGATACTGGGGTACTAGGGTACTGGGGTACTAGGGTACTGGGATACTAGGGTGCTGGGATACTAGGATACTAGGATACTAGGGTACCGGGGTACTTGGGTACTTATTCTAACCTGGAATCTCCACGGGGAGATAAGCTAGGGTGCTGGGGACCTATTCTGTCCTGGAATTTCACAGGGAAAAAAGCATCAGTGCTGGGGACCAATTCTGCCCCAGAATCTCCACGGGGAGATAAGCATCAGTGCTGGGGACCAATTCTGCCCCAGAATCTCCACGGGGAGATAAGCATCAGTGCTGGGGACCAATTCTGCCCCAGAATCTCCACGGGGAGATAAGCTTGGGTGCTGGAGACCTATTCTGTCTTGCACCTTGAACCAAGTCTAATCTTCAGCACGACAAGAGAACACATCTCCCATCCAACTAACCTCAAAGTCTTATTAAATTCTACCTAGACACATTAACTTTCAACCACTTTTCCTGAGTTCAAAGAACAGGACTGAAAGGTCTCAACTCTCTAGAAACTAATTTCCCAACAGTTACAGAAACGAAATTAACGCAGATGAACATTAGGCTGCTCACACCCCCACAAAGTGGATGATGCAATTCTCTCCACAGCTCCCTCCCCTCCAACACTCTCCGCCACCACGCCGGCAGCCCACAGCCTCGGGTGGCATACACCATGCAGCGAGTTATCAGTCGGCAGATAAACTGTTCACTTAGCAGGGGGAATATGAGTAGCCTGCTTATTATCGCCCTCATTTTCAGCAATAACATGTGGAATGTAGCACCTTGATCAAGATCTACACACGTGCAGCAATAATTCATCCTAACTACTGCACATTGCCTTGTTCAGGATATAGGTTCAAAACATGTGACATCAGCAATATGGAGCTCAAGAAAATTAACAGCTGTGAGCAATACCAGCATGTAATGTCATGACAGTAACAGCTCTGAATGTAAGGTATTTGTTTTATTTGTCTTGATTTGAGCCTAATTAAAGTAAAATCATGAGAAAATATGATTAATCACAATGGTTGTAGGTATGAGATGTATTATTGTTTTAAATCACACTGGGTGTATGTATCGATATTAAATCACACTGGGTGTATGTAGAGATATTAAATCACACTGGCTGTATGTATCGATGTATTAAATCACACTGGTTGTATGTGGCGATGTATTAAATCACACTGGCTGTATGGAGTGATGTATTAAATCACACTGGCTGTATGTGGCGATGTATTAAATCACACTGGCTGTATGTGGCGATGTATTAAATCACACTGGCTTTATGTGGCGATGTATTAAATCACACTGGCTGTATGTGGCGATGTACTAAATCACACTGGCTGTATGTGGTGATGTACTAAATCACACTGGTTGCATGTTGTGATGTACTAAATCACACTGGGTGTATGTAGTGATGTACTAAATCACACTGGCTGTATGTGGTGATGTACTAAATCACACTGGCTGTATGTTGTGATGTACTAAATCACACTGGCTGTATGTGGTGATGTATTAAATCACACTGGCTGTATGTAGTGATGTACTAAATCACACTGGCTGTATGTGGTGATGTATTAAATCACACTGGCTGCATGTAGTGATGTACTAAATCACACTGGCTGTATGTAGTGATGTATTAAAACAAACTGGCTGTATGTAGTGATGTATTAAATCACACTGGCTGTATGTGGTGATGTATTAAATCACACTGGCTGTATGTATTGATGTATTAAATCGCACTGGCTGCATGTAGTGATGTACTAAATCACACTGGCTGTATGTGGTGATGTATTAAATCACACTGGCTGTATGTTGTGATGTATTAAATCACACTGGTATCGATGTATTAAATCACACTGGCTGTATGTATTGATGTATTAAATCGCACTGGCTGCATGTAGTGATGTACTAAATCACACTGGGTGTATGTGGTGATGTATTAAATCACACTGGCTGTATGCATGACATGTACAAAACTTCACCTCAATATTCCCATTTGTCAGCCTAGCTGCTCGGTTCCAAACTATGAGACCTCAGACTGGATATTACTCATCAATGACTAACTTTGATTCAACATGCTGAACCCACTCGTTGTCTGAAACTCTGGGGGTCCTGATACCTGAACAGTTAAGGCTTATCAATTAATGTTCCGAGGGATGTAACAAAAGAATTTAGATGCCGACTGATCTTATCACCTTCTACCAGCAAACACAGGATTTATTGACATTCAGGGTCTAATCCATGAAAGAAATGATGTTTTGTCCGAGACATCTCTGTCTGAGGGAGTAAAGCCTTGCAGCTTGATGGGGAATTGGGGGTACGGATCGGCAGTGATAGAAACTAACATTTTTTATCCACTAGTCCTTATAATGATAACATATAGCAAAACCCTTAATAAAGGCAATTTTCTACTGGTCCTTATGATACCTTAACTTTTGGGCCAATAGGACTAGCGTAGATTTCTAATGCTAACAGGGTAATGCACCATACATAGCAACCTATAGCAGGTGAACTATCACAGGCTGCATCTATCAATGCTATATAGGATGCCTTGAAGTTGCTTACCATCCCCCTAGTGACCTTGCCAGACACAAATGTCAAAGGCATTTTCATGATGTTAGCAAATTTTGATAGGATATTCTTCAATACCATCACCAAAATTGAAAAATATCATTGGGGAATTTCCGATGGCAGTCAGTCAATGACATCTTCCCCATTACTGGTGCAGAGTTTGGATGGAGGCAGGAATGTATCTAGACCTGCTAAGAGGATGATAACTGCAGCAAATGTTAGAAATATATATACAAATTTGAATCGTAAATTTCATGTTTTTTTTTAACTATTTGGGCTTTTACAGAGGTGAAGTGTATCCTTGATAACAGGCCAAGAAACACGTGGCTTTACTTGCAGTGGTGAAGTGTAGCACTGATAAGAAAACCAACAGAGACAAAGTGGCTTATACATTTTAATATGTTTGATTTTAATTTTTAGTTTTTTTACTTAATCACACTGAAAAACTGTTAACATGGTTAAATACCTTTGAATTTAAGAAAATAAGAAAATCTTAATTTTGGAGTACCAGTTTTTCCCAATTTGGCTGCCAGTTGCACCTAGTTTATCCCTGTAATACAATGCCCATGTGCTGCTTGGGGCTTGCTCTGACAGCACAGTTTATATCATTGTATATAGTATTTGAATATGAAGACCCCCAAATCATCAAAATGTTAGCATTGGGCCCATGAGAATGAGCCCTAGAATTGTGTGTTTAATCTGGGAGACTGTCGGTGGACAGCTTGAACTTCTCACAGTCGGGCCATGGGTGTGGAGGGCTCCGGCTCTCAATATTACAGAGGCATCTCTGTACCTGTGCTGTTACACTATAAACACTTAGTCAAAGAAATAAACTTATTGAATTTAAAAATATGTATCAACAAAATAAATAACATACCGTATTCGACGTAATAAGCGCCCCGCTCCAATATATTGGCTTGTGAACAATCCCAATTAGCACCCCTTCCAACTGATCAATGTAGACAAGACTTATTTATTCGCGTATGATACACACTCGTGTGTTATATGCACCCTTAATTATGGGCAATTTAATTCTGGAAAAATATATGTCGTACATAAAAATTTCAGGTTGTCAGCTTAAACCACAAAATTTATCTTTCAACTCTGTTTTTTTCACCAAAATAATATTCTAATATTCCTTATTTTGAGAGCGCCCTGGGCGCTTATTACGTCGAATGCGGTAATTCAAATGGAGCCCAGGGCAATGCTTAATTTCAGGATTTGAGGCAATCTACACAATCTAGACATTCTGGACGTGAGTGTGGTTCATTTCTTAATTTATTCTCTTGGGTCTGGGAGTCAGACTACTGTGCTGTCAGCGTTTGAACGTAAGCGTGAAAGTAGAATGGGCATTGTCATAATCCTTGGCTTAAGTTAAAGACAAAGGCTGTTGATATATTGAAATACTATGATGAAAAACCTTCAGGACCCTCCTTAATCAGTAACACTGCATAACATACAATATCCAATATTTCTCGTATCGCTATGTATATGCATATACTTGCCATACTGGGAGCTCGATCAGACTCATTTTTTTTCAGTTCATTGAACTTT